CATTTGACTGCTTCTTACTCCTTGCCATTAGCTTAGCTAAATCTACTGCATCACGGCAAAAGAAATAGAGAAATAATGCAAAGACAACACATTTCTGTTATGCTGTTTTTGACTGCACTCAAAAAAACAAATCAGACTTCAGACTTGACAAAAAATCAGACTTGAAATGAAGTTTTGTGTACAAACTTTAAACTGTTAACCACTTTTTGAGCATAGACCTGAAAATGAAATTTCCAACTTTAACTGTTGTAAATTGGAGTACAGTTTTACATGTTATAGTACATAGATCGATTAATGGCACACGTCATTACGTCTCCACATGACGCCATCCGACGTCCCCTCCAGAATTTCACGTAGAAACATATAGTTATGATGCCATATACAGTTTTGGGTTTCATTTTAGTTTACTGAAAGCTTCAAGTGCAGTTAATTATTTGTCATGCTGTGCGTGCAAACAGACGACGGTGTTGTTGAAGCCATGCTCTTTTGTTTGCTGTCAAACGGTTGACCACTGCCATGTGTGTATCATGTCGTAAAATGCGGCGAAAAGTCCTACACAACGTTAATAATGTGATTAAAGTGTGTACATGTCTACACTCCACTTCAATAATGCTTTGTGTACAAACTTTAAACTGTTAACCACTTTTTGAGCATAGACCTGAAAATGAAATTTCCAACTTTAACTGTTGTAAATTGGAGTACAGATTTACGTTTGGTCTCTTTTTAAAGAAAACATGTTACAAGTTTAAGTTTATTGTTTTTTTTTAATGCTCAAAATACTATTTTAAAATATATATTTTTCAAAACATGTTTTACACTAAAACTGTAAGAAAATCAAAGCCATATTTCTAAACAAGTTGTGTTCCAAATTTGAGGTTGATATAAAAAATTTGCTTTCAGTAAAGTTTGTTTGAATGCAGTAGCAAACGTTTCCTCTAGTTGAAATATGTTTCCTGTTAATTTCCAATGTGGTCATTTTTTGACCGCAAGAAGTACAAATGTGTCTATGTTTTTTTCAGGACCATTTAACCTTTTCAAATGTCAAAAATCTTTTTGTGTGTGTGCAGGCTCACATAACAGTGCAAAAACATTTACCAAGTTTCATACCAAAATGTTACATTTTTCAGTCAAACGAGCAAAGAACCCTAGAGGGTTATTATTTTAGCATCATTGATTCACTATTACAGCTTTTGTTATTATTTTGAATTAGATTTTATTTTTATACTTTCTGTTTTTATTTTCATTTTAAAGTTTTAGTAATTTTGTTGTTTGTTTTTGCCATAGTTTCATTTTTTAGTCTTAGTTGTGTGTTTTAGTGTTTTAGTTATCCTAATTATCTTACTTCAAATAAACGAAAATGAGAAATGTTGTCTTGGCAAGTAGCAGCAATCAAATACGTTATTTTAATATTTTGTTTAAGTTAATATTTATTTCATGTAATGGATTTTTCTATGGTTTTAGTTTTAATTAATGAAAATAACCCTAGATTGGAATTATTACTGACTGTTCATATGATGTGTAGTTGTGTAGTTAAAGAGACACATTTGCCATTTTTCTTTTTCTAGTTTTGATCTGGTTATGATTACATATTCATTTGTACTCCTCATTCATTTTATGTTCTCTGTGGATGAGTGTTCAGTGTTTGCTGGTTCCTGTATCCTGCTGTGACTCAAAAGATGTGAGAGTGTGTGTGTGTGTCTGTCAAACGGTTGACCACTGCCATGTGTGTATCATGTCGTAAAATGCGGCGAAAAGTCCTACACAACGTTAATAATGTGATTAAAGTGTGTACATGTCTACACTCCACTTCAATAATGCTACTAAAATAGGAATACTCCACATGTCTTAATTCGATTTGTGTTTACTTCAAATATGATTTAGTCAGATTAAGGTAATCAAAAATCTCTGTTTACATGGTAGATTCTTAATCAGAGTATTGTCTTAATCCTGTTAAAATCTGAATATTGTTGTCCATGTAAACGTACTCACTGTTAACTATTACAATTGCTATACAACTTTTGCCTCAATAAACTACTATTTTGCTGCTTATTAATAGTTAGTAAGGTAGTTGTTAAGTTTAGGTATGGGGTTTAATGGTTAAGGGATCTAAAATATGATCATGCAGAATAAGGCATTAATACGTGCTTTATAAATGTGTGTGTGTGTGTGTGTGTGTGTGTGTGTGCGCGCTTTCTCCTCATCTCACTGCCTCTCATCCTACAGCCTGTCATTTAGAAATGGAAAAAGTGTGTGTGTGTGTGTGTGTGAGAGAGAGAGAGAGAGAGAGAGAGCTTAGGATGATTTCACTTGCCTTCTTGGCACTTCAAATGTGTTAATATCAGCAGCAGCAGTTCCGTTGCTATGGACACCAGAATCTAACCGTCTCAACCTCCTGTTTGAAATGTTTGTGAGTGCTATACGTCCATATGGGAATGATCCCATTTCCACAGTGAAATCTACTTTATAACTCAACTGTTTCTCCTAGACAACAGTGAGATTGAAGCGAGACACTCTGACTTTGTTTTCAATTTTGACATTTGGAGAAAATCTAAAATATGATCATGCAGAATAAGGCATTAATACGTGCTTTATAAATACTAATAAACAGCCAATAAACTAGTAATATGCATGCTAATAAGCAACTAGTTAAATGTGAGAACTAGTTCTTAAAATAAAGTGTTACCATTTACACTAATTTATATGGCATTTTCTTCCTAAAGGCATAGTGAAAATAAATTTTATTTCAAGTTGTTGACAGTATTTTTTAGCCTATTCACTTGTGGTAAGTGAGCAAATCAAATCTCCTGCTTCTCAGATTTTCTCCATAAAGGATCCCAATAATCTCACATGTCTCCTATAGAGTTTCAGAAGAGATCTCAACATCTTAATATGTACTCAGAATTGCCAAGATACCAAAATCTGCGATCCAAAGTCTAAAATGACAATATGAACTCCTGAACCAAGTGATCTAATTTTATCTGTCTATTTTTTATATCCTTTTAGTATTTTAGAAGAAACAAAGTAGATGCTTCAATGAAACATAACTGTTCAAAGCATAACAAGCTCAAGTTTTCTGCCACTGGCTAATCACTTCCTGTAGATGTATCAGTGTACCCTTGTTAGGCAGCAGAACTCACAGACCTGTTAGTCAGCAGCTGACAAACAACATGACAGCACACTGTCCTCTACAGGAGCCTTTAAGGCACTGCATTTAAAGACAATTCATTACACCGAACCAAGCTAGAAACATTCGTAACAATAAATCATTGCTATTCTTTCATATACCTTGTGTATTTTGACGTATCAAATTGAGATCTCTCACACACACTCTTTGTGTCTCTACAGAACTTGCATAACTGAAGCAGCATCATTAAACATGATTATCTGACAAACTGTTCATTTTCAAACTGTTAGATTAGCATTTTAATGAAAACTGAAGTCTGCCCATCCAATACAGAAGCTCTCAGAGCACAAGTGTTACGCAGACGTTACGTTATGCATGACAATGAGCATAACTACAGAAGAAGGAAACAACACTGTGCAGGGCAGATATATGAGCTGTCAGAAATAATAGGCTGAAACTGCAGAGAGAATATAAAAGTGTACCCGTATGGATATACCGGTGTGTGTGTGTGTGTGTGTGTGTGTGTGTGTCTGTGGTTTAAAGGTGATACTGTGCAGCAGAGTGATGGGTTTGCTGATATTACTGCAGTAGATTTGACAGCACAGAGAAAATGATGACTTCGGGCGAATGAGAAATACCATATAGAAATATGATGGAAGCCACTGCAAAAACAAGCTGACGTGCAGTACAGAAAAAAGAAAAAATTATTAAAAATCAGTCACTATGTTACAACATCATCTTTGTCTTCATCCATTTAACTTGTCACAACAATTTCTGTCAACTCTTCTCAACAAGTTATGACTTTCAACTTGATTTTCTTCATCAGTAAGTAAGTCGCAGTGGTCAAAAAGTGCAATATATATATATATATATATCATCACAAAATTGAACTATATTATCGCCCAGCTCTAATGTGTATAATGTGACTGTAAGGCAAGTAGATATTACAATATTATAAACATTTACATATCATGATTTTCTGCTTTGAAACAATGTGTATTGTGAAAAGTGCTACACAAATAAATTAAGACTTGAATTTGACTTGGCAATTTGATGAGCCAGTCCAGTGTCCTTTATGAAGATAATAACAATTAAACAACCATGATGATGTCACTGTGAAGAGCAACGTCACAAAGAAAGTGTGATTCATTTTTCCAATAACTGTTGTCAAAATGGCAATGATGATGATTTGTTCTCAAACCAGGGGGCCTCAGAAAATTATTCATTCATTCATTCAATCAATCAATGTAATTTAATAATAAATATAATAATAATAAATAATAAATGTAATAATAAATAATAAATACAAATTTGAAGACTAATACAATCAAGATGTAAGCTGAAATAATACTGAAGTGAAGCCATATTTTTTTTCCTGTCAATAACTTTATTTTAAAAAAGCTGAATCAGTATCTTGAATCTTATAGAATCCCAAAATAAATATACCAACTACATAAATATATACTCCCGGATTCTGTTATGACATTTATTGTAAACAATATACTTAAAAACATACAGAATCTTGAATCTTATAGATTCACAAAATAAATGTCTCACTCCACATTTCTGGTAATTAAAAAAAAATTAAACCAAGCAGTGTTGTCATAATTACAGCAGAAATACCAGAGGAGATATCTTAGCCAGTATGGCGGGCCTTCGGGTCAAAAAGGTTGAGAACCACTCCTATAGATGAAACCAACAAGATGGGGATGATTTTGCGAGTTATTTCTATGGTCGTAATGATTTCATATGACTGCCATTGATGAAATGGCATCAAAAAAGGATGAAATGATCAAGTACACAAGCAGGTACTGCAGCCTACTGGTGCAATTCTGCCTCCCGTACAGCAGGGGCAGCAAAGCATCAGTGTTCTTACCAGGGTGGAGACCGCAGAGGTGTACAGAGGGGTTTGACCAGAGGACAGCAACACTGGCTGTGAAAAACAGGAGAGGAAGGGCAGATAACTCAACAACAACAACAACAACAACAAATCATTAAAATAGAGCCTTTGATATATACAATTAATACATTACGAAGTATCATAAAGCACTGATGCATTCAATCTGACATCTACAGTAAAAATATAAATTCAATACATTGATTATGGATTTTATAATTACTATAATAGTCAAATTTCATGCTGAATCATATAAATTATTAAAAGAATAATTGTATTTAATTAATTTATTGATATATTTTACAGCATGATTTCCCGCAAAGGTGCTAATGAAGTGAACAGAAATTTTTAAGTAATTTCCAGTTAGTGTTTTGCTTTTCTGAGCTCAATAAACATGACTACTGCATCCCATCAAAGACTCTGTACTGGGGACAAAAAAAAACAAATGAGATATAATTGGAGAAATAAGGATCTACAGGAGACTGACATCAGAGTCATGAAGGTGCTTATCTAAGAGCTGTTTTTTTTTCATCTCATGCAATGAGTGTAAATTAGGTTAGGAAAGGAAACAGAAAAGTGCAAACAGCCCCAAAAAAGTGAGGAGGACATGTCTAGGTTCATTCAAACAATGCAGTACATGTTTATGTCCAATCATATGTATTCATACAGTATTGCACAGATGTTAAAGATGGAAATCTTAAAGGAATAGTTCACCCAAAATTTAACATTTTCTGATGATGTACTCACTCAAGATTTTGTAGACATCACTTGCTTACCAATGGATCCTCTGCAGTGAATGGGTGCCGTCAGAATGAGAGCCCAAACAGCTGATTAGAACATCACAATAATCCACAAGTAATCCATATGACTCCAGTCCATGAATAAACATCTTGTGAAGCGAATAGCTGAGTATTTGCATGAAATAAATCCATAATTAAGATGTTTTTAACTTTAAACTGTTGCTTCCGACTAAAATACAAGTCCATAATCCATAATATTGCTTTCTCCACTGGAAAAAAAACAAACAAAACAACATCTAGTCTGAATCAGGAGAGAAATATGCTCAGACCAAGCACCGTTTACAAGCCAAAACAGTTATGTTGCAAACAAATATGTGGGTGGATTTTTATTTGAGAGGACAACAGGGGATGGACTTTTTCACTGGAAGAGGTGTTATTATGGATTATGGACTCGTATTTTGGCCAGAATCAATGGTTTAACACATTAATGATGGATTTGTTTCTGACAAACATGCAGATTTTCACTTCATAAGATGTTAACTGGTGGAATGGAGTGGTGTGGATTACTTGTGGATTATTGTGATGTTTTTATCAGCTGTTTGAATCAGCTCTTGGACCCATTCACTACAGAGGATCCGTTGGTGAGCAAGCGATGTAATGCTAAATTTCTCCAAATCTGTTCCCATGAAAACATCTTGGATGGCCTGAGAGTGAGTAAATTTTCATTTTTGGGTGAACAATTTCTTTGAATGAGTATATTACTATTTTTTATACAGGTACTGCATAACAGGAATTGGCCTTTCATTGGAAAAGGTAGAAAATAAGAAAGGAAAAGCAAAACATAATACAACTATGCAGTCTGCTGCACTATGTTTGTTTCCCCTTTATAGGGAAACAACATCATAATAGTGTAATCTGGATCTGTCCCAGGTCCTGAAAGCCAACTGTTGTTCTGTGCATTAACAGCAGATGGCAACGTTGTTCAGTTTTGAGTGATTAAATTGCTTCAGGTATTGCTTCACAGCATGAAAAATCCTTTACATGTATGAAATGTTGTGCTTTCCAAAAATAAACTCTGAAGATAAGAGCTCTCAACAGGCAGATGAAAATCTCATATTACACATTCCCTGAGGCTGCAGGGTGATCGCTCACTCCTTCTGAAGCCCTTGAGATTCATTCCTGACCCAAATCCATCCTGAGAGCCAAATGACTGAAAGGTTCCCAAAGGAATGTGCGTCTCATTTTCTCCAATTCCCTGCTCCTTTATTCACAGAGGTATAAATACTTTCAAACACCCCAGAGGTTCGCTGAAGTTCAACAATAAAAATATTACTAATTAAACCAAACTTTACGCATTTTATGAGACAGATCTCTGATCAATCTAATCGTCAGAATACCTCATTCTAATCCTCTGATTCTGTCATTTTTCTGTCAAATGTTAATGCATAATGATCACTAAACTTACTGCTGTCCATCAACCAGCTTCCTACACTGTTAGTTTCTTGTTATTACATAATAAAATAATTTTAACTCTTTGTTTTGTCAATTTATTTAATAATTTAGTAAACAGTAGTATGTAATAAGTGAGATAATGTACAGTCAGCCGGTCATTATTATTCAGGTTTTATTTTGTGACTGTACAGAGTGATTGTACATTATATTACACACATATCACATATGTGCCAGTCTTTATCCAACTGTTAAAACTTCTGTGCTTTCCATAGATATAAAAAAAATTATTCTTATAGATATTAAAGTGGAAAATAATGTTTTTTTAACCTTAAACCGCATAAACACATTTCATTACACCAAATACACAAAATAATGTTCATTTTAGCAGCATCATATGACCCCTTTAATATCTATGGAAAGCAAGTTTTAACAGTTGGATATAGGCTGGTTGTATTGCCAACAAAATACTGTAATAATATGTTAGCGTTTGTGATATGTATGTCATACAGAGTAAGAAAGTAGTTCTACACACAAGACAAGAGTGTTTTATAAAATATGAAAAATATGAATTTTTCAGTAACTTAATGGTCAATAATCAAACTGGCATGGGCAAAAGCCAAAAAAAAAAAAACAGATTTAAATTCAGGTTGCCTTGATTTCAGGCGAGTTAAAGTTGAAATACAAACCATCTAAACAATTCATATAAATTTTGGAAAACTGTCAAATGTGACCCTGGACCACAAAACCAGTCATAAGGGTCCATTTTTTAAAATTGAGATTTATACATCATCTGAAAACTTGAATAAATTTGTTAGGATAGGACAATATTTTTCAATTCCAAATTTTCAATCTGGATTTAGAAAACAAAGACTACGGCAGCCTTAAAAGTACTAAATGATTTCATTGAATCTGTTGATAACCTGTGGATTATCTGAACATGCTATTGGTTGGTTTAATAATAATCTCTCAAACAGAACTCAATGTGTATAGGCAAAAAGTCTTATTTCTTGTTCACTCAATGTAACTGAAGGTGTGCCACAGGGGTCAGTCCTAGAACCATTCCTAATTATGTCCCCACTGGATGCAATGAATGCCTCGTTTGTAATGGGTTTTCATGTTTTTGTCTCGTCGCTCCGGCCGGACAGGGCATCAACACAGTATGGTGAGGGGCGTAACATTTCCGTCTCACGCTTGAGGTATTCGGCCAATCATAACGCACTGGATAGCTGGCCAATCACAGCACACCTCGCTTTTTCAGACCGATGAGCTTTGTAAAAATCGACACGTTTCAGAAAGGCGGGGCATAGAGGAGAAACAATAATGTACAGTATGTGGAAAATAATGTTTTTTTAACCTTAAACCGCATAAACACATTTCATTACACCAAATACACAAAATAATGTTCATTTTAGCAGCATCATATGACCCCTTTAATATCTATGGAAAGCAAGTTTTAACAGTTGGATATAGGCTGGTTGTATTGCCAACAAAATACTGTAATAATATGTTAGCGTTTGTGATATGTATGTCATACAGAGTAAGAAAGTAGTTCTACACACAAGACAAGAGTGTTTTATAAAATATGAAAAATATGAATTTTTCAGTAACTTAATGGTCAATAATCAAACTGGCATGGGCAAAAGCCAAAAAAAAAAAAACAGATTTAAATTCAGGTTGCCTTGATTTCAGGCGAGTTAAAGTTGAAATACAAACCATCTAAACAATTCATATAAATTTTGGAAAACTGTCAAATGTGACCCTGGACCACAAAACCAGTCATAAGGGTCCATTTTTTAAAATTGAGATTTATACATCATCTGAAAACTTGAATAAATTTGTTAGGATAGGACAATATTTTTCAATTCCAAATTTTCAATCTGGATTTAGAAAACAAAGACTACGGCAGCCTTAAAAGTACTAAATGATTTCATTGAATCTGTTGATAACCTGTGGATTATCTGAACATGCTATTGGTTGGTTTAATAATAATCTCTCAAACAGAACTCAATGTGTATAGGCAAAAAGTCTTATTTCTTGTTCACTCAATGTAACTGAAGGTGTGCCACAGGGGTCAGTCCTAGAACCATTCCTTTTTACTTTATATATTAATAATATTGATCAAAATGTTCTCACTCCTCATTGTGTGTTGAATGCTTGAGTTGGATGCAAGGTTATTATAGTTTTGAATTTTTAAATTCGTTTTATTTTAATATCGTTTTCAAATTTGTTATAAAATTCAGTTTAGTTTTTATTAGTTTCATTAATATTTTTGTTAGTTTTAGTTTAGTTTTTATTTTGTGAACACATTTTTATTTAGTTTTTATATAGTTTAGTTTCAGTTTTAGTTTCAGGGCCATTACAGGTAGGCTATTTCCCTAAACCTCCACACAGCTCGTATATTTTTCCGCCAAGGGGTGAGAACGTAATGATTACGAAAACGATTATTTATTTTTGATAATTATTATTTTATTTCAGTTAGTTTTTCAATACCTGTTGTTAGTTTAGTTTCGTTTTAGTTTTTCAATTATTTTGACGTTTTATTTTATTTCAGTTTACGAAATTGTTTTTTCATCAATCGTTTTAGTCTTAGTTTTAGTTTTCGTTTACAAATATAACCTTGGTTGGATGATCTGCTTTGTCAATTAGACTAAAACACTGGCAGGTTCTTATTTATAAATCTATTCTGGGACTGCTTCCCTCATCTTCAGGCCTACATCTGTAAAAAACTTGAAGGTAGTTATGGTCTTCTGTCATAGGATTTTTTCTTAATTTCTGTTCCAGTGGTGCGAACTGAACTGGTAAAAAAGGCATTTAAATTTGCTGCTCCCTCTGCCTGGAATAATT